GTGATGAGGTCATTTGGTAGAGTCAATGGGTATAAATGTATGGAATCCTATGGTTTACAGTTTAGGGGCATTTTGAATTTTCAACCAGAGAGTTCTTGGGCCTCACTAGACTATGCCAGAATTCCATGGAATACAGCCAGAGCAGTTAAAGTAAAATGATAGTGCTACCTCAGCGGGAGGAAATAACAAGCCCCCTCTGAACAAATCTTGCCACAAAACCTTGTGATGCATTCACCTTAACATTTACATAAGTCAACAACAGCCTGAAGGCACATAACAATGAAACAGCAACCAAGAATTGCTAACCACAAGCCATTAAGACCACATTGTAGTAGTCTCTCAGGAAGCACCCCTGAAGCCATAAGATGAATTGGAAAGCCAATTCCAAAAGACCAGGGTTCAAATCCCTGCTCAGAAACAGAAACCTAGCAGGTGATCTTAGGCAAGTCAGATTTCCTTGGCATCAGAGGCATCTGCCAAGAAGGTCCCATTTTAGGCTGCCAAGAAAACTCCACTTGAAGGTATGCAACAACAATAATTACCAGGTGTGTCATATTGCTACTGGGTCCAAACCATATCTTAAAATGAAATCGATCACTTATATAAAATATGTATTATTTATATCTGTGCAAAGACAGCAATAACTGTGACCGTATATAATAATACAGAAAACACATGAAGCAGGTTAAATCCAAGACAATACATTTTTCAATTCTTTGGGGGGGGGGGGGACTATAAAAACTGTTAGTACTTAAAAGTTACAAGGATGTTTCTTTTGTAAAAAATAAAGAGCATTCAATTGCTCTTTGTGTTTCTGTATCTTCAAACTTGGCTATGCTTTTAAATCAAAGCTGGCAGGCTATTACTTTTAAGTATGTACCAAGTTATTTAGAAGTTGGAGAAAGAAATAAGAATTGGCTAAGACATGATATTCTGGAGGCATCTGTTACGTATGGTCTGTAGTTTGGTTTTGGGGGGAAAAACCTGGTGCATTCAGCATTACACAAATAAATGTGCATTATGAGCCCCTAATACACAAATGCAAAGTTGTGTCAAGATTCATTTACAGCATGCACCATGATGACTCTTGAGCAAAAGACCCTGTCTTGATAATGAATGCCCATTATTATAAATAACTGCACAACAGAAAATCATTCACCAGAGACAAAAGCACACCAAAAACATTTTGTTTACTCCTGAGCTGAGATGCCAGTATGGATGCTATTAAAAGAGCTGGGTGCTGGTAATGCAGCTGGAGCATTGCCATGTAAATTAGGCACATGGGGAAGATTGCCTCACTTGCTGTGTTGCAAAGTGCTAGTAGAGTTTCCTGGCCTGCACAGAGAATAGCATATATTTCTGATTATGGATGAACCCAACCATCTTGAGATAGAAACATAATCTACTAAGCAACTGAGCTGTAGTCCAGCAGTTTCCATTCATGATTTTCCATTTGAATTAAACATCAAGGCCTAAGCCATTTTCCTACCAGATCAAAGTATACAATGGTTCATGAACACATCCCAATCTAGTTTGTGTTTAAGTTACAATTACACTAATGTGGACAATGGTGAGTGGAACAGTTTTCTTCATCCCATCTAAAGACAATTATGTGTCTTAAGATATATAGGCCAGACTACTGGAATCCATATGCATGTCCTCCAGAACTTCATTGTTGAATATCTTGATGACATCCACTGATGACATCCATTGAAACACCACATGGTTTCTGAAGCCTATTCTATACTTGGGACTTATTGCATGCAAAATTTGCAAATGATTGCTCTGCACAGAAAACAAAATTTTCTGTGAAGGAGTCTTTTTCATTCAGAAACTATTATTTCATGGCATTTTCTGTGCGAAAAATGCAGTTTTATTTGCAAACCAAAAATTTGCAAATTTTGCACAGTGTAAAGTTTCCAATTAAAGCATTTTCTGAAAGGGAATTCAAACCCTTAGAGCCCTAGTCCAGAATTCAGACCACTACACCCTGTGGATCTCAAACACATCACTTGCTCACAATTTATAGGATACAATATTTAATTCTGCATTTCCCCCACAAAAGTGATACAAGAGGTCAGGCTGTCCAACCAGTAAATCCTTTCTGCAGCATGTTTATTTGGCAACAGATTGAGTCATTTAGCTCTATCACTAATTCATCCCATGATCTTCAGGCTCCATTTCTATGCACTTGAGAAATTGAATCCCAGGGGGCATCAGATGACATAAGGCCCTTCCTTTGGGACACCATGGGATTCCCAAGCACATGGAAACAGAGCCCAAAGAACTCTATCAGAGTTTAGTGTCATTCAACTCATGATAGAGAAATGTGGAGTAAAGAGCAGGAAAAAAATGGGGCAAGGAATAGTAAGCTGGGATGTCTGGCCATCCCTGAAGACGGGGAGAGACAGGAGGCAACTGTGTGAGACAATTCACTCTGCTTCTCTCTGCTTTCTCCCACTTTCCCCTTGCTGGTCTGGTGAGGTCCTAAGAATAATTAACTACCATATACACTGACCTAAAATATTAATATGAACACAGTTTCGAGTGTTTTGTTTTTTGTTTTGTTTTGTTTGTTTGTTTTGAGAAGGTGAGGTGTTTTGTACTACCAGAAATTTTGAGACCAGGTTCATATATGCAGGTCCATATTTCACTCTTATGTAATTCCTACATAATTGCTGTTCCAAAGTTTAGTCTTCTTCTAATTTTTTGACTAAACTGTTTGCTTTGATTATTTCAGTGTCTTCAACATCCACTCAAAAATTATGTAAATTATCTGTGGCCACAATTTGTATTTTCTTCATGTTCAACTGTGACTCTGCTTTCTTCCTCATCTTTCCTCAATAATTATTGAAAGTGTTTGCTATTTTCTACTAGTAGTATGGAATAAGAGGCCTAAGCATCCTAGGGCACCAGATTTTATTTATGTGTTTTATTTATTTACTTTATTTATTTTCTCCCTGACTCTCCATGGGACTCAAGGTGACTAACACTCTGATCAATTTAAAACAAAGCAATTTTTTTTAAAAAAATTAAACAGTATTGTGTGTAAGATAAAAAATACCATTAAAATGCATTTTAAAACCCTACTCTCCAAATCCCACCTAAAACCTCCCCAGCAATGTGCCCCTTATCCTTCTCCAAACACCTGCCTACAGAAAATAGTCTTGTCCTGCTTATGGAAGACCAACAGGCATGGACTCTCTTGGAAGGAAGTTATACAATCTGGGGGTCAGCTGTGGTTAGTACTTGGATGGGATACTGCCCCAGAGTGCCAGATCTGTAAGGCTGTATTTCAGAGGAATGAATTGGCATCTGAGTATACCTTCACTAAGAAAAACCAAAGTAAATTCATAGGGTTGCCATAAGTCAACAGCTGACATGAAAGCATGTGCACACACGGTATGGAGTCATTTGCATTTCTTTAAATTGTTGCTGTTCTCTTCTCAATTTTCCCACCTTCTTCCTTTGCATCTAGTTCATATTTCCATATAGGTTTCTCAAGAATGTTTAATAATAATTCATGCTATAAAATATTTGACAATTCAAGGAAATACAATAATACATACATTTGGAATTTTGATTCATCTAAAAATTCAGAGAGAAAATATAGGGCAATTTTAGCTTGGCAGTGTGCTTCTCCTTTTAGTGTATCTCTGCTTTCTCTTATGTCCCATCACTCTACACCAGCTATGTGCCTGGCTCATGGCAAACCCTTCTAAACAGCATCAGTATCTGAGCTTCTGATTATTCCAATGGCCCTCCAGGCTATTTGGATAAATGATGTGGCACTGTAATCATTGCAGTGTCTCAGTGATCTAGGAATGTAGTCGTTCTCAGCATTTTAAAGGATGGAAGAACTGAGTCACAGATTCTGGTTCCATCCATGTGGACGGCAATCTGCATTCAATGAAACAAGAATGGTATGAAACAATGTTAACTGTATCTCAAGGCTACTCATGGCACTACTAAGCCATGACATACCTGTTTTGACAGGCTTTTAATGTTTGGTATTTTTGTTTTTACATTGTTTTAAATTGCTTTTAAATTTTGTTAGATTTTAGTTATTCTTGTAAGCCGCTCCGAGCCCCAGGGGAGTGGCGGCATATAAGTTTAAATAATAAATAAATAAATAAATAAGCTCAACAACCAATTGTTCCAGTTGTTCCATGGCCTATGCCAATATACCAGGTTCTGTAAGGCTAACTCAAGTAAGAAATGTAGAGTTGTATCCCAGAAAGGAAAAGGGAAGATATCATATTGAGAAAGATCACACTGAAATTTGAAGAGTTGCATTCCACTGATTTTCCCTCCTGCTGTTTCTGTTTTGATTAAATCAAGGCAAATAAAAATCTCCAAAACTAATAATGGGCGAGAATTCCTTGGCTCACTTGGGAACTGGGCTTGGCCAAGCTAGGCTATTTTTTAAGTGAAGAGACTAGATCATTTTGAACATTGCCACTCTAACATGTGTTTCTTGCCAGGATCTTGCCAGTGAGAGCCATGCAGGGTTTTTGTATCTGTTGGAAACTCAGATGTCAGGCCTCTGTTATACTCTTATGCTCCCCAAAATATACTTTTAGCTGGTAATTTTAGTGTGCCTTATTCAGGACAAAATATATCAATGATGGTTTATTCTGCAAAAGAAAAACGACAATAAATAAACAACACAAATGTTTTCTGGGAGTATGAAAAAATGCTACAGAATCTGGAACTGTATACACTGCTATAAATCATATTGTTACATTATCTATTTAAAGGCAAGATAAAGTTAAGAACATGGGTTAAGAGGATAGAGGATCGCAGATTGATTGAGTCTGAATTGATGTTTTTACATGTGAATGTGTTTTATTTTATTGTATTTTATATTGTGGTCACTTTTATGTTTGTTTTTAGACACTTTGTGTCATCTGTAAGCCACCCCGAGTCTCTTCTGGGAGATATATAAGAATAGAGTTATTATTTATTTATTTATTTATTTAGAACCTTTGATTCTCCAGATATTGATGCACTAGGCTAAGAGACTTTTTCACTAGCCAAAAGACATGAACTGAAAACCAATTGTGAGAAAATCTAAAACACATCATGCAGGTACACCAGCTAGTACATTTATATCTAAAAATACTTCAAAGAGTCAGACACGTAGAGGCTGCACAGCCTTTAAAATATAGTGTAAAATGATGTTCATAACCCAAAAAACTAGTCACAATTATTTAGCAAATTTACCAGAAAAAGAAAAACCTATGACTTCCCTAGATGCTAGAAGCTAAGTCAGCATTTCCAAACATTACCAACTTAGAATCAAAGGCTCAGCATATTTCTGGATCAACCTCTTCTCCACTGGTAATAGTTCTTTGCATGAGTTATCATTTATGTTGACTCAATGTTTATTATACATTTCAGGGGTGGGAGAGTACAAAAAAACATAAACAATTAGCTGTACAAAATAAAAACCATCATAACTCAAGTTAGCCACACAAAAGTTTTGTTATAGTGCTGAAAACGCTGCAGTGCCTGAGCCAACCATATCTCTATGGAGCACATGTCATAGCTCTCAAATTTCCTAGGGATGAGACATTCCTGTTAAAAAACAACACATCTCAAGATGATGTATACAGTCATGGAGGACTACAGAAAATCAAGCCAAGATGGCTGAATCAGCCTTCCTTGTCCTTCTCAAATATTTCAGTGCTTTTATACACAAAATAAACTTCAAACATACACTTATTTCTGTTTGTTTTATTGTGGCTGAAAGAAGCACATATTTAATTATACTTTCATGAATAACTCATACTTTTAGAAGATCAAGAGTCTTTGTTCTGGATAGGGCTCCATCTATAACAGGTATTTTGCACTACAAGAAGCCCCAGCTAGCTTGGCCAATTGTCAGGAATTCTGGGAACTGAAGTCTAAAACATCTGGAAGAGCAACATTTGGGAACTCCTGTTCTATCAGAATGCTAAGACTTTTTCTCCATGGTAGATATTGAGGTATGAGACATGTTATCAATCTTTCACCCCTTATTTACTGATTTAGCAAGTTTTAATTGAGGTTTTCACTCACTGTTATCCCTGCTTGCTAGCTCTTCAATGGTCCAGAATCTTTAATTAACTTCCTTGACTTTCTATTTTTTTTATTTTTCAAATCATTCAGAATTCCATTCATACTTCTGTCACTTGGCAAATTCATTTTTACTTTTTTATTATTTTTCCCTTGTCCTCAGCAAACATGAATGGATGAAATCTTGAACCATTAACATCATTCTAGGCTGCCCCTGGTATGCATTGTCCCTCAAGACCACCCGCTCACATACAAATAACTTTTATCCCTTCCCATATTACACACATTTGCACTGAGCATAATTATTCACTTGGACTTATATTTACTGTGCAGCTGTGTGCTAAGCATCTCAGGAATTCAATTTGGTTACACTATGAAGCCCAACTTCTCCAGAGACATGAGGGTCAATCTCTAGGTTGTTGTGATTTCACTCATTATTACATGTGCCAGTGTTTGATTTTTATTGGGACCTTCCGTAAGAAAGGAAGGAAATTATCTCTATATGAAATGATGTGAATATGCACATTTTCAGGGAGGGAAATCAGTGATGGCCAGGGGCTTCCAGATCAAGGCTAGAGTGAATCACCTCTGGGATTTAATATATGTTTTAAAGATATTATCCAATGTTCCGAGCCCTATTGCCCCCCATAAAAATATATTTATCAACTTGAATAAGTCTTTTAAAGTCTGGAACCCAGCGTGCATTCACCATTCACCTGACATGGAAGCCAGCAGCCAAAATCCACTTGTAATGCACTGGGTAATAAGTACATTAGGGAGCCCCCGGTGGTGCAGTAGGTTAAACCGCTGAGCTGCTGAGCTTGTTGACCAATAGGTTGCAGGTTCGAGTCAGCGGCGTGAGCTTCTGCTGTCAGCCCCAGCTTCTGCTAACCTAGCAGCTTGAAAACATGTAAATGTGAGTAAATCAATAGGTACTGCTCTGGTGGGAAGTTAAGGGTGCTCCATGCAGTCATGCCAGCCACATGACCTTGGAGATGTCTACGGACAACACCAGCTCTTCAGCTTAGAAATGGAGATGAGCGCCAACCCTCAGAGTCAGACGCGACTAGACTTAATGTCAGGGGACAACCTTTACCTTTACCTAATAAGTAGATTGACTTTTTTCATGTCAGGAGCAACTTGAGAAACTGCAAATCACTTCTGTTGTGAGAGAATTGGCCATCTGCAAGGACGTTGCCCAGGGGACACCCGAATGTTTGATGTTTTACCATCCTTGTGGGAGGCTTCTCTCATGTCACTGCATGAGAAACTAGAGTTGACAGAGGGAGCTCAACCCTCTCTTCCCAGATTCAAACTGCTGACCTGTTGGGCAGTAGTCTGCCAGCACAGGGTTTAACCCATTGCACCACCGGGGGCTCCAGTAGGCTGACTGAGCTGCTGCCATGTCATAGTATAGTAGAGCATGTTTAGCCTTTCTAGATTCTCTCTGGTTTTTTTCATTCTGCCATATACTGATGCTGATCCTACAGAAGCAGTAAGGCATGAAGAAGGATATTGTGAATGGGAGGTAATGGAAGAGTAGCCTAGAACAGGGGGAATGAGACCTTTAGGCAGCATGCCACAATATGTTTAGTTGGGGTGAAAGAGGTGGTCTAGAAGAAGAAGACAATGGTAGAGTAAGAAGAAATGAGCAGAATACAGTAATGTAAATGGAATAAGGCTGGAGTTCATCTAATATGCATTTGAAATAACTCGTCATCTGCTAGGCTTCAAATCTCTCATATGGCATGTAACTCAGTAGCACAGTACAGCTCCCAGATTCAATCTCAAGTTCTGAGAATTCCAAGTGTTGCGGTCTAGAAATAACCCTACTAAAGATCATAGATAGCCACTGGGGTTCAGAAGAATAATACTTGTTTCTTGGGAACAGTACCTGATTCAGCATAGGACAGTTTCATGTTTTGTATTTACTCTAGTTTTTGCCAGATTAACCTGGAAGAAGAGCATGTGACCATTTTGAGCTTCTTGTTTGTTTACAACTTGAATAGAAAACAAAGGGACTAAGATTCACTCATGATTATTTAAAATAATTTAACTTCCTACCCCATAATGAATACAATCCAGAGAAAGTTAAGCACACAAGACCCATTAAAATCAATTGAACATAAGCACTCATTAAGAATTTAACTCTCACTAAGTGGCCCTTCAATATGCATAACTATTTCTAGATTCTCCTGTTTCTCTTAGGATCAATACATACAATATTGATTTATACTTTGACTTTCTATCATATGATTTTATGTTACGCACAGTGGAGCATCCCTTCTTATGCTACATTATGAGTATTTATGTAAGCAGGTATATTGTAAGACCATAAATATCAGGGTAATGGAGCATTATTTTTGAAAGAAAGAAACCTGCACAGGTGATTCATCAAATATTCACCACCTAATCATAGTTGTATACTTACGTGTGTTTTGACACAACAGCAAGTGTGTTTATCCCAATGACATGAACAGACTCTAGAAAGTTGCAGCTCTTTGCAACATCTTTTGTCATGGTTACTACACAAAGTAAAGCATATCTTTCAAAACTTTTGTGAAATTTACATTGGATTAATTTTTCCCTATAGCCAGCAAATCGAAGATGGGGAGATACGTAAGAAGTGGGGATGGGGAGACAGGGGAAGGAAGATGTTCCATTTAATTATTGAATCTGTAGCTTAAGACATATTTTACTTGTAAAATAAATGTCCCTCAAAAGTGGCTCTGTAAACAATCCACTGAAGGGCTTGCGGCTAGCAGGATCAGAAAGGTTTCCCAATAGCCACAACAGTTTTCACGACAGCCGGCTAAATGCCTTCAGCATTTTAATGCTGTTGAGTGATTCTGTTAAATAGGATGATGGGTGACTGACCATTCTTTACAAAGTCACTCAGCTACAGCTATGCCCTCAGCAGGAAAATATAACAAATGTATGCAAACCACAGAGACAGACACAGTAGAACTATATAGGCAGAGGGTGGGGGGAGAGAGACATTGAAAAGGGCAGAGAAATCAGGACAGAATGCAATGGTGAAATCTATCTGAACTGTTCATAGGTTAGATCGTGTTCCTGTTGGCCAACACGGGTAAACACTGAGACAGAATCTCTTTCCTCAAAATGTTTTCCATTAGCCAGATCATGATTCTAGTTCATTTAGAATCTAGAAATTTCAATGGTCCTCCAGGTTTAGCCTGTGGAGAGAAGAGAGAGAGAGGGAGAGAGAGAGAGAAAGGAGGAGGAGGAGGAGAGAGAAAGTTGAGAGAGTCAGTGATTGTATTACATAATGTTTTATTCTGCAGCATCAACAAAAACAAAGACCAAATACTTTGGGGAAGTATAGTCAAATCTTTTTTTGTTTAATCAGGCTTTGGGGACTCAGGATTAGATTTTTAAAAAGGAGGAAGAAGTTCTGCACGCTGGTGGACAAACTTTCCCTAAGTCATGTCAAAATTATCTCAGCTTTTCTGATCTCAGGGGCTTTCCAAGAAAGCAAGGAAACATCAAATCAGAAAAGGTGCTCAACTCTCTTCCCTTTCCTTTGCTCTATCACTGCAATGGCCAAGTGGGTTTTTAAAAATGACAAAGTGGTTATTTTATACATGATGTCCACTTCCACATAGGAGATAAACATAGTATCCAATACCTCCCAGCTCAACAGATTGAGTTGGGCTAAATTTAAGAAGAAGCAGAGTTTGGTGGAAGTTACAGTATGTCTGTCTGCTGTTGGAGAGAGCTTCTGCCAGGGTGCTTTCTCCTCAAATTTAGCCTGGCTCAATCCACTGAGCTGAGGGGCATTGGCACTGGATACACTACATGGCAGTGGACATCCTGTAAAAAATGTCGCTGCTATCCTTATTCAAAACTTTCACATGCATATATTATGAAGTGAAAATGAAATGTAAGGAGACCTGGACTCAGAATATAACTGAAGAAGTAGAAGAAGACATACTAGGGAATAGCTGATTTTTCAAATGTACATATACTTTTTGATATAAAAAATATGATTCTACTTACATTATATGTAAAAGCACATTTTAATGGTTACTGCCATATCATAAATTTGACCTTACATCTGCATAGTGGACCTGGATCCCACTTTCTCCATTTCTCCTGTTTCTCTCACTATTTCTCACAAAATACTTGTGTATTTTTTTAAAAAAAAGAATTACAACATCCTTCCAGGCTTTGGACACTTATTTGAGGATTTTGAAAGGGACAATTTGTATTCTGCTACAAAAAGAACATGTTTGTGAGGGGTTTTTAAAACAAAAATTAAAGCTGATCAAGTGATAATAACAATGCCCCCAAAAGTTGGGTGATATTATCTATTAATAAAACAACATATTCTGTTCTGATGCGGTTTGGTTTGGTGATTTTTCTTTTGTTTACTTGCTTTGCTTTTTTTGTACTCACCTTTCAAATTGGTCAGGCTATATGTCTAAATGAATTTCTTCTTCAGTCCCAGGGTCCCCAACCTGAGGTTGACAGGCTTTCAGTATTGATATGACACTGAAAAAGGACATTGACAATCTTTCAGTACTGATCTGGCACCAACAAAATAATTTTCTGTTTGCCCACGCATCTGTTCTCATGTGTGGCTCAGCTGTAAAAATCACATCTCACACTGCTGACTATTTCACTGACAGGTAACACTCAATGCTTGAAAAACAACAACACAGATTTAGACAACACAGCTTGCCTATCGAGCAGTTTCACTTGGACAAACAGTATAAAATGCAACTAAGGTCACTTGTTTTGACTTGGTAAATTAGAATGTAGTCATGTCAGATTATGCCTCTTCCAGACAGGCGTTACCTTATTAAGAAGTGAGTAATGTATGAGCAAATTAATGTCTCATCTTCAAGTTCCCATGGAAATTTAGGGCATTTGCTATCAACCTTTTGCTTGCTTCTTATCCCCAGATGTAAAGCATAGGAGATTATTAAAGCCCAAGACAGCAGGATATGAGGATATAAGCAATCATTCGTTCACATTCCTGCATGTGGGGACATGCACCACTTTCTATCAGATACTCATGTGGAAATCTTAGAGAGCAGAAGATAATGGTTGAATTTTTGTTACCTGTCCAGTGTCCTTCACTCTACCCCTGGTGGTTATGACCTACCAATATTAGACATTCCCTCTTTCCACTCTTTATATTATATGGATTACCAGTTACAGTATAAATCTAGAAGATGATTACACAAAATTGGATTGCTGTTGCTGTTGTTATTGTGTGCCTTCAAGTTATTTCTGACATATGGTAACTCTATCATTGGGTTTTCTGTGGCTGAGATTATATGACGTGCCCAAGGTCATCCAATGAGTTTTCATGATCTAGAAGGGATTTGAATCTGTTCTCCAAAGTTATAGTCCAACACTACATCATGCGGGCTCCCAGCAAATTGGGTAGAATGTAGGAAGCTCGAGTAAATTTAGCAGCACATAGTTGCTATTAATTCAGTACCCACTCTTGAATTTCTAGAGATATTTCCAGAGAAGAAATAACAGTTTAAAAACACTGAAGTTTAAAATCCGCAAACATTCCCCAGTACCATGCTATGTGCAAGGAACAAGCCCTTTTCATACCATACAGCTATAGAACTATAATTCCATGTCAACTGCCATGATCCCATCCCATGTAATCTGAAATTTTCAGTTTAGGGAGAGCCATTTATAATTCTCAGCCAGAGAGCTGTATTGGTTCAGATCAAACTACAAACCCTAGGATTTCATTACAGTCAAACCACAGTGCTATAATTCTGCAGTATGAAAAAGCGCAAGATTTCTTCTTAGGTGGCTTTAATTTCCTCATCTAAGCAATGCTAATTTGTGAAACTCTTCTATTCTTCGCTCAGTGTTGGGGAAGGCATTTGTTCAGAGTTGCTCCGCTAGTAATGGCAACTGCACTTCCCTCGCAGAAAAGGCTCAGCACTTTCCACCTGCCCAGTCATATAAATCAGCAATGTGTGAGGCCCTAGACAGGTGAATTTGTCAAGCCTTAACATAAGTCTTGCTACAAGTGAGCTGCTATTTATGGTGAATGTTTTCTCCTTGGGTTACAAACTAGTCTTTCTCTCCCTGCCTAGCCCTCCCCGCGTGCCCTGTTTTGTTTACCCAGCACATTTGGAAGTTCTTGCCAGTGGATCCTGTCTTTTTTCCACATCCGCCTTCAATGCAGAGGTAGTTCATCTGTGACAGGTGAAGCTCTTAACCTGTTTAGTTTCATCTCCGCTCCCCAGAGAACCTGTCTGTCTCTATCTTCCAGGTTCATGGTCTTGCTTCTCAGCCACATCGACATGTTCCTGGGACATTAACCTGCAGGCCTAAAAAACTTCAAAAATCATTCCAACCGAAGAAGCGCTTATACAAAATGTATTTGATAGCTTTGCTTACCTTTCCTGCAGGCTTGCTGTATGCCAGGCCTGCATACGCTGCACTCTCTCAATTTCTGTCACTCATGTCATCTGCTCAGTGAAATCTAAAAGATCGCTGAACAATGTGTTGAACCATTTCCCTTTTCTTCTTGTTATTATTGCCATGACCAGCTCTTAAGAGAAGCACAGAGCAAAGCCTGTTATTACCCAGGATGATACGCTGAGAATATAGGACGCATTCAGGAAAAACACGTGCCGAAAACTTTCAGAGAAAAATATGAAAATATTGAAGAGACATGAGTTCTATGTCTTTCTGTAAGATGGAGGTCCTACCGATAATTCAAAGAGCTGGATGCAAACAGTGAATGTGGAATGTCCAGGCAAATTATTTTCAAATTCCACCCTCAGTAGCAGACTTTTTAACCAGAATTTATTATGGAAGTAGGCTGTGAAACTGACCCCTACAACCCATAAAGCTGTAGGTGTATTTTGCTAGGAAAATAAATTACTCTTAGGTAATTTAACGTATCTCTCATATGTAATTACTCAGACCAATACCTTTCTGAACATTTGACCTGACAAGCCTCATTATTCATTTAAAAAGAGATTTACTAACTACTATTACCAGAGTAAAGCACTGCATATAGAAATATAGATACAGGTGGCATGGCTGGAACTAAAGTAAAAGAACACATCCTGATGTTTGTCCATTGACCTAGGAAGACATGGGGGGAGCAATATTTCCCTGTATGAAAACCACAGTTCACAATAATTTCCCTTTTCCCAAAATCCCACTGCTAGGTTGAATATTCTGGAGTTAAAGTTCAATACGAAACTCTGCAAAACTCTGGTGAATTTTTGCTGCTCACTATCAATGTAATCATAGACATGGTTACTCAGAAGTACCAGTAAGTCCTACTGGATTTAATGCAGCTAACTCTCTGGTCACCAAAAAATATGTAGCCTAAATTAAGTCCTAAGTAAGCAATGAAGAGGGTGAGTGAAATACTGTGTTTAAAAAAAGACTATTTTAAAATATCATACCGGATTCTGCATCACATTCTATTGTTTGGGAGCCACAAGTGAGAAGATCTCACTTCTCTTGGCTGTTGCTGATTCTCAAATGAAAGCAAATCAGATTAAGGTTTCTTTTGCATGGTAGAACAAGGTTTTTCAACTAGGGTTTCCTCAAACCCTAAGACTCTGCAAGAGGTCACATGTGGTTCTGCGAAAGATCATGGCTGGGGTGGGGGGAAAATGAGCTGTAGATAATAACTTTTTATGCAGGGTTTTCCTGAGACTGATTTAGAAAGGCTCATCTAGAAGAAAAGGGTTATTATTGTGTGCACATAGATAATATATATAATGACATTGGAAGTGTCCACTTCAAAGTTTTATTTGGTTCTTTAGAACATTCTTCATCTGCAGTCATCCGAAGAACAAAGAAAACGGAGAACGAAAGTCTTTGTACTAAAATCAACATAAAATAACACCTCCCAGGACCTGGGTTGATTTTTCTCTTGAAATGAACAGAAATGGTAGGTCCAAGGGAAAGGGCAAATTAACCTACAAGGAAACTGACAGCTTTACAACCCTGAGCCTCTGATTGAAATGTTGGGAAGTCTCCTGGCAATTCTCCCAGACATGCAGGTAGAACAGCGAGTTCACTTTTAATGTTAACTAAAACAATCTGGCTTTGCACAAACACACCTCGGGCCTAGCCAAGTGTGAAGGCGCATCACTGTGCCAAAGCAAGAGAAAGACCTTATTTACCTGAAATGGGTTACTGGACTTTGAGAGAAAAAAGGGGAAAAGAAGGAAGGAATGATAGAATCGTAGAGGTGGAAGAGAACTCATGGGCCATTCAGTCCAACCCCCTGCCAAGAAGCAGCAAAATCTCATTCCAAGCACCCCCGACAGATGGCCATCCAGCCTCTGCTTAAAAACCTCCAAAGAAGAAGCCTCCACCACACTCCGGGTGGAAGGAAGGACTTACATCACTTCATCTTGTGAGATCTGACAACCTCTGAGGATGCCTGCCATAGATGTAGGCGAAACATCAGGAGAGAATACTTCTAGAACATCGCCATACAGCCTGAAAAACCTACAACTACCCAGTGACTCCAACCATGAAAGCCTTTGACAATGCAAAATTATCACTGTTTTATGGATTTGGGGTTTTGTTATATTTTTGCTGCATAGCCAAAACAGCTACTCTGAATATAAATATCTTTGATGTTTGTCAGGCTCTAGAATCACAAGCTTGTGTTACAAATAGAAAATTCTGTGCATAATACATGTAATCAACAAATTCAAATCAGATAATTAGCAGAGATAGTAAAAATTCAGCCCCAATATCTGTTAGTAAATGTGGAAAATGGAAGCTGAGTTCACTGAGTTTCCTCTTCACTTACCTTCGCAGTTTTTAAAGTTATCATTAAATGCACTACGGGTGACCCAGAACCATTAAAGTGAATAAAAAGTTTGCCACTGACTTGTAATAAGGCCTTGATTGTGAAAATGGTCTGGACTGTGCCCAAAGCCAACTACACCAAATGAACTTCAGGCATATTAAACTCAAAATTAAATGTAAAATATTAAAAACAAACATTTCCTTGAGCCTGAATGATGGTTACCATATATTTAAACTCTAAGGCAGCCATTTTTATTTGAATCAAGAGCTACAGGTGATATTAAGCAACACATCGAAATTGTCATCTATGTTTGTCTGCAAGGCAGTGCCTATGATTCAAGCACTGTACACCATGTACATTTTCCATTCTATTATGTGCCTTTTAGAAAACATCATTAGGTTAGATTATAAAATGGCTACAGCAAGTTAAAAATATGAAGTACCTTAAGTAATGCTGCTTCCCAGGAGACACCCTTTGCCTAGTAGTCAGTAATGCAATCAGATAGCTAGAGTTATTGCAATTGCCTGCCAAAACATCACTCATGTCTGTAACAGCATCCTGCAAAACACCATTATATCAGTTCCAGCTTAGGTGTAATTTCTTTTTTTTCTGGAATGTTATCAGCTATGACTCATTCTACTGCACTGGGAAAATGGCCTTAGGAAAGGCGGGATAGGAGTATCCTGTTGTCACTCTGTACATTAAATAATATTTTGACATCATGGCAAACATCCTTCATTGGGGCTGCACATAACATAAATCTCTGAATGTGGAATTATGTTTTGATTGGGCCAAACTCTCCTTGGGTCGAATAGCAAAGTTGCACAACTGAATGCACAACCAAATGACTAATGCACAACAGCACACATGGGCAAGTCTGCTTCTCTCTCAGGCTCAGAGGAAGGCAGTGCCAAACCTCCTCTAAATGAATCTTGCCAAGAAAACCCTATGATCAGTTTGCCCTAGGATCATCAGAAGTCAAAAATGACTTGAAGGCAAATAACAAGGCAAGAACAAGATTATTCTGAAGCTGGTCAGGAGTTCCCAATAGCTTGGCCATCACAACTGATCTGCCTCTGCAAGAAGGGACCTCACAAACAGTAGCAGCTGGTAGCTTCCTGCAAAGGAATGGTGAATTCAGTCTGAGGTTTAGCATGAACCACTAATTCCCAAACCGTAGTCATCCAGGTATTTTGGGCTTCAACTCCCTGAAGGCTCAGCTGCCTTAGCCAATAATCGAGGATACTGGGAGCTGAAGTCCAAAACACCTGAGACCAGAGTTTGGGAAACACTGATTTGAACTTTCAAAAAGCTGTCCAAGGAGCTGAACCTGGGTATAAGTTCCAATGAAACACAGAGTAAATTCATCACCCCATTGACACAGAAGCCACCAGCTGGCACTGCCTCAGAGTAAAGTTGGCACTGCTGGTGTGAGGCCAGATGGTATCCTGCAACAGCTGACTATGAACACAAGAATACTCTCCCCCTGAATACTCAGAGGTGGCCAAGGGTTCTCTGGTGAAAAGGAAAAGCTCCCTGGCAGATGGGTTGATGTGGAGTGTTTTGAACATTCAGACAGTTTGGAAATCACGATGATATCTTAACATTGCATGGTCTTCTCAGCACTGCCAAACTATACACATCCTAATTAATCAGTGGTCAAATCTGGTCAGAAATGAGATGCTCAGATCAACTATAACTTCAGAAACAGCAGGTGGGAATATCTGAAAAGGAAAATACAGCCAGCTGTCCACATTAACTGGGGTTAGAGGCCAAGGATCTCTGCAAAAAAATGGGGGTGGAGTTTTTAAAAAGTAATTTTATACCCAAGAGGAGACCTCTCTAAAAATCTCTGGGTCCTCCAGCATAACTCTATGGTCACCTTCTGATGTAAACTGACCATAAAGACACTCTAGGGCAGTTGTTCTCAATCTGTGGGTCCCCAGGTGTTTTGGCCTACAACTCCCAGAAATCCCAGCCAGTTACCAGTTGTTAGGATTTCTGGGGAGTTGGAGACCAAAACATCTGGGGACCCACAGGTTGAGAACCACTGCTCTAGGGGACCTAGAGATTTCTAGAGAGAACATTTTATCAAATCAGTGAAAATTTGTTTAATCACTTGTCCCGATATCTTTCACTCCTCTATGACCAAGGGTTTGGGATGGTCCTGCTTTGGGAACATTCTCAGTGGATGACCCAATTTCATTTGTTCGAGAAGAGAATAAGGCTATGGGGAGAATAGCAGAATTGAAGTCTGCTTGGCCTATATCTTGCCACTATAACTAGTGACCCTTGATGTCCATCTCTGTATATTATGATTTCATATGCAAAGCTTTACAGAGAACATTTTTCCTTATTCTAAACAATGTAACTCTATTCAGCAAGCTCTGCTTCCAGTGTAACACCTTTACCAATTCACATGTGGTTCCAACATAATGCCATAGGTCAAGCAAGTTCTTCAGGTAGCTTCAGTTGATAGCAACTCATGAGAAAGTGTTAATGTAACCAAGTCAGAGGTGTTTAACCTGATGAAGTAACCTACAGACTTGAGAAGTATCAGTTCATTTCAACAACTGCGTGAAAAAATGCTACCCACTTTCCTGAGGAATTACTCTGAAAGAGCAACTGTGCCCTGTATAAGTTGCTCTTTGAATACCTGACATAAACAGAAAGCTGAATTTAGAGTTTCAAGTCCTGAGAGAAAAGGAAGTATGGTGTTTTCTTCTTCATTTATGACACACGCAAAGGCCAGTCCACCAGGCCAGATTTTTGGACTTCCTGTTTATTCCTTTCTTCCCGTTCCCCCTAATTTTTCTCTCATGATGTATAATTAAAGGGAATGCCACG